GCAGTAATTGCACCCACGTACACGGATGGATCTCAAAAATAAATCGCCCATGCCGCCAGAACCCTTACGAAGGCCGAGAAGAACTACAGTCAGATTGAGAAAGAAGCATTGGCCATAGTGTACGCGGTAAAGAAATTCCACAAAATGCTATACGGCCGCCGCTTCAAGCTCCTGACAGATCACAAACCCTTGCTCGCTATCTTTGGTTCGAAAAAGGGCATCCCGGCCTACACAGCCAACAGGCTACAACGTTGGGCCCTTACCTTAATGGGGTATGATTTCGAGATCCAATATCAGTCGACAGTTTCCATTGGCCAAGCAGATGCACTGTCACGCCTAATTGATACCCGTCAGCAAGAACATGAAGACACAATCATTGCCTCGGTGGAGATTGAACCAGACGTCAACTTTCTGGTAACTGATGCACTGCACTGTCTACCAGTTACCGCAGAAGCTGTACGGACCGAAACACTTCGGGACCCAATACTCAAGAAGGTTACTCAGTTTCACAAAACAAGTTGGCCACGTTCATGTCCATCTGCCGAGTTGCAACAGTATTTTCAGAGGAGACACTCACTCTCTATTGTAAACGATTGCATACTATTTTCGGAAAGAGTGGTCATCCCCAAGGCACTTCAGCAGCGCCTTATTCGACAGTTCCACGCCGGGCATCCTGGAATCATCCGGATGAAGGCGCTTGCCCGCAGTTATGTATACTGGCCCTTAATGGACAAACAGTTGGAAGAAATAGCCAGAAGCTGCCAAAAGTGTGCCGATGTCTTGAAAGCGCCATCGAAAGCAGAACTCTGTTCATGGCCAATAGTTACTAAGCCGTGGTGCCGCATTCATGTCGACTTTGCAGGGCCGATCAACGGGAGAAGTTTCCTCATTATAGTCGACTCATACAGCAAGTGGCCAGAAGTATTTCTCATGGATAACACAACCACCAATGCCACCATATCGAAACTGCGCCAAGCCTTTAGCAGATTCGGCTGTCCTGAGACAATGGTCACTGACAATGGCTCACAGTTTACTTCAGCAGCGTTTAAGGAGTTTTGCAAGCAATGCGCCGTCCAGCACGTTCGCTCGCCGCCGTTTCACCCACAGTCGAATGGCCAGGCAGAAAGATTTGTCGATACATTCAAGCGAGCTCTCCACAAATCAAAAGGGGAGGGACGTATAGAGGAGGTGGTTGACCGGTTACTTTTCCTCTACCGATCAACACCGAATCCACAAGCACCAGACGGAGTCTCTCCAGCACAGGTTATGATGAACCGGAAGCTCCGCATGCCTTTCGACGCCATCCGACCGGGCTCGGATTCCTCTGTTGGTGAAAGAAACCGCAGAATGGAACAGGAGTTTAACCGGCGGCATGGAGCAAAGAAGCGACCATTCACGCTTGGACAGAAGGTGCTAGTACGTGACTACCGGGAAGGCCATGCGAAATGGACGCCAGGGACGGTCAAAAGCAAGCGCGAAAACGTCATGTATGACGTGAAGGTGGGAGCACAAGTCTGGCTACGGCATGCAAACCAGTTACGTCCCACATTGTGTCAGCCAGAACAAGAAAGGCCTACTGACCTCCCGTTCGATTTACTGGTGGAAACTTTCAACCTGCCGAAGGTAACAGTGGACGACTGCCCAAGGTCGAGCAGCGAATCCAGAACAAGAACATCGGAACAAAGTTCTCGGGCGCTTCTGCCAAGGAGGTGGACCGACAGGCAGAGAACACCGTCCCGAAGACTGCAAGTTAATCCCAGGCTTTCCTCTTACACCTCGGAACATATCTCAGGAGGGGAGGTGTCCGGGAGAAAGTAAGAATTGCCTTGGAAATTCCCTATTTTAGCGATTAATCGATTATTAACGATTATCGCATCGATTTCGAACGTTCCTGAATGTTCTTCTACACGTGATCAAAATCCACCTGACCTCTCGGCAAAAGATATGGGGAACCACTAACCTTGGCAGCTGACCTTCCAATTCTAGAAGTCGAAGGTCAGTAGAGACCTATAAATACAGCCAAGGTCCGCAGTGTTGTA